ATCAAACACATGGCCTATGAGCTTCCAGTAACACTCTAGAGTAAAACCCAAATTAAATGTAATTGGGAAACATTTAACAAAGGAAATAAAAACACAACAGAACATAGATAATATTACTGTGTAGTTCTATCAGTCAATGTATAACAGTAATATACTGATGCATGAGTTAGTTGTTCCTGTTTCTATCTGAGTTGCCATAATTGGTCTATATATGATACAAGTATGGATCCAGAACAGGATGAATGACTGGGATCCAAAGATTGTTAATAATCCATGTCAGATTGGAAGATTTCCAGTTTTTTGCCCTGGGAATCTTCTCTTGGCCCTGTCCTTTTAAAATGTATTTTATAAGTGATGTAGCTAAAAGGATAGCTAGCACTATTACCAAATTTTAAGATGACACAAAACTAGGAGGGGTATATAACATACTGGGTGACAGGATCAAAAAAGGATTTTGACAGACTAGGAAAAAAACAAACTGAATCCGACTAGATGACATTTAATAGGGATGAATGTAAAGTCATGAATACAATGTAGGGTAGGCTTGTCTAGAGAACATTTCATCTGAAAAAGATCTTGGATTTCTAGAGGACTCAAGGCAGGTGAGTGGAGTGATATATCAGCCAGAAAATCTTATGTAATTGTGGACTGCATTAAGAATGGCATAAATTTGAAGGATAGGGAGATCATAGGCTCACTGTGGCTCTGTCCAGGTCAGACTGCTTATGGAAGACAGTGTTCAGTTTCGAATGCTACATTTTTGAAAGGACCTTGATAAACTGCAGAGCTCCTAGGGGAAGGAAACAAGAATGGTGAAGGGCCTTAAGTCCATATCTTATGAGAATTAGCTGAAGGAACTGGGGTATTTATGCCAGAAAGGGAAAGTTTCAGGATTAAGATAGTAGCTGTCAAATATTTGAAATGCTGTCATGTAGAAGTGGGCTCTTTTCAAACCTTTAGAGCAGAGGCTAAGAGGAATTAAGAAGCCTCTTGATGAGTGTGGAAGGTGAAAGTTAAAGCTGACTTGAACCTTAAAAACAACAACAACAAAACAAACTCTAAAATCTTGACAAGTGGTCCCATCACTTCCTTGCAAATAGAGGGAGAAGACATGGAGGTAATGTGAAATTTTATATTCTTGGGCTCAAAGATCACTGCATACTGCTATAGCAGTCATGAAATTAAAAGACACTTTCTCCTTGGAAGAAAAGCTATAGCAAATTTGGACAACGACTAAAAGCAGAGCTATCACCTAGTCAACAAAGGTCTGTATAGTCAAAGCTATGGTTTTTCTAGTAGCAATGTATAGGCTGTAAGAGTTGGATTAGAAGGAAAGTTGAGCCCTGCAGAACTGCTACTTTTGAATTGTTATTCTGGAGAAGACTTTAGAGAGGCTCTTGGACAGCAGAGATCAGATCAGTCAATACTTAAAGAAATTAGTTCACACTGTTCTCTGGATGGTCAAATACTGAAGCTGAAGTTTAAATACTTTAGCCACATAATGAAAAGATGGGACTCATTGGATAAGATTTTAATGTTGGAAAAGATTGAAGGCAAAAGGAAAAGGGAACAGCAGGTGGATAGTGTCATGGAAACAACAAGCAAGAAGTTGGACAGATATCAAGAGAAAGTGGAGGAGAGAAGGGCCTGCTGTGCTATAGTTCATGGGGTCCTGAAGAATGGGAGTCAGTTGAATGAACAGCTACAAAGCAGAGGTTGGCAAACTGACCACCAACCTGGTTTTATAGGTGTTCTTAGCTCTCAGGTTTTACTGAAATGAGTGGCAGGCCAGATTTGGCCCATAAGCTACAGTTTGCTAACCCCTAATCTAGAGAGAGGAGGTGGAGATAAGGGATACAAATTTTAGACTTGTAATTTTAGAGCTTTCTAACACTTGGAGCAATGCAAAAAAAAGAATGGGGTACATCAGGAGGTAGTGGGTTCCTTCTCCTTGGAGGTTCTCAAGCAAAGGCTACATGGCAACTTGTTGCTCACACAATAATGGTGTTCTATTTTGAACCAAGTTGGACTATGAAATTAATCTATGCTTCTCTTGTACTGAAGTCCTTTCCGACTCAGAAATTCTGTTATTCTGTGATTTATATCTCTATTTCATCTTCTACTATTCTACAATCTAGGTGAAATTCTCCATTTGCTGGCAAAGAAATTTTGTGGTACTTTTGATTACTAATAGAATAAGGTTTCATAAGCTATTTTTTCTTTGGTCTGGACCTGGGAATTGATCAGTTGAACTCTAGATGACAAATCTCCCTTTACTAATGGCTTTGCTACTTAAAGTTTTAAACAGTTTCTTGGGGGCACTGAGAAAAAAAAATACTTCTCCAAGGTCTATTAGCATATCATAAAAACCCTAACCAGACAAAGCATGAGTTTCCTCAATTTTGTTTTTAAAGACAGATATTTAACTTTATTAATGAATCTTATGGTTTCTCAAGAGCACATCTTCTAGTAACACTATTATTTGCTCTGGAGATAATTTACCACAGCCATATTGCTTTACCTGAAGTTCTGGTTTTTGTGAAACAATATTATATTAACGAGTATGGATACATGTCTGCAGAATATAGTTCAATTTAATTCAACAAATAATTATTTAGCACTCACTATGGGGTAGGCACTGGGCATACAAAGACAAAAACAAAATAGTACCAGCACTCAATGAGCTTAAAGTTTACTTGACTTTTCAGAAAGGAGGCTCCTAATTACAAACACACATAGGTGTATACATATACATACATACACATACATACAACACACACACACACACACACACACACACACATAGAGAGAGAGACAGACAAAGAGAGAAAGACAGAGACAGACATATCATGATGTTCCACTGACAGGGAATCACACGGAAGAATTGATTTTCTGAGGTTTTCCCTTTTGATGCCAATCTCATCCCTTCCATGTTTCTCACCTTTCTCTGTTTTGAACATAGGAGTAATAGAAGCATTAAAGTAAAATAGAATATTAACAAAAGAAGACATATGATTTGGCTGTTGGCTCTTGGGTTGAAGAGAACTTTAAGGATGAATTTACTAAAATATATTTCATGACTTTTCAAAACAAGGGATTCTAACTTACTAAGCAAGACTGCTTGGGGAAACATATTATTTTTGCTGTATAAATCTAATTATCCTAATTTGTTCTCAATTTGACATCTCTTCATATAGCTTTAGTATAAATGCTATTGTTTAAGAATTATTTAACTTGGGATGGTAGTAAAATCTGTGGCATTAAGCCAAATGAAGCCAGGATATAAATCTTAGGCTGTGGTTCAGGTACCTTGAGTATTAAGCCCATTACATGGTGCTAAGATTAACAGATATTTTTAAGCATACAAAATACAACATATGCAGATGTTGAAACCAGATATGTTTTCCTATACTTGGTAATTTTCTGTTTACAGTAACCACTCATTCACTAATGCATGATTTTTTAAAAAAAGTTTTCTAAAACACCTGGTTAAATATTACTTTGATCCATATGTTAAAAAAAATATTTATAGCTGCTCTTTTTTTTATGGAAACTAAGGAGAACCCATTATTTGGGGACCAACTGAACAAATTATGATATATGAAAGTATATGATAAAGTATGATAATGTTGTGTTTCAAGAAATAATGAAAGGGACAGTTTCAGAGAATGAGACATATATTTTTGGACAAGGCCAGTGTGGGAATTTGTTTTGCTTGACTATCCATATTTGTAACCAGGGAAAAAATATTTCCTTGATGCGTATTAAATTCTTTTATTGTGCTATTACACATAACATTATTTAAATAAATTCTTTGCATAGAATAATTGTGGAATATTCACAAACTCAGATTAAATATAAGACCTACTTTTTTTTCCCCCTCACAGTGGTTACATTTTGTTAAAGTAGAACTACAATTGAAGTTTTCACTTTAGGAGGAAGTTTCATTAGGATAATTCCATCAACCCTTATTTTATCTTTCTAACCCTTAAATGTTTGCTGTGCTATTTCCCAACCACGTGTTATAATAACTTCAATAATCACTTGCGTTTTTATGTAGCTCATTTAATCCCTAAACAAATGTTTTGTTAGTTCATCAACTACTGAAGTAAAATGATTAGGAAAAGTGATATACAGAGATACAATTCAAGCAAATTGTAATTACATGGTCTAGAAAGGACCTTGAAGTCTCACTGCCCTAGGCGACATCATGTTGAAAATAAATAATCATGCTCTAATCAAAGATAATCAAAATTCCAAGCCCTCCTCCAACTTCCAGCATATGTATTATAAACAAACATCACTGATAAGTTTTTGTACCTTTGTAGAAAACAAACTATTACAAATGTAAGCCTGAAATGTAGGAGGGCAGTTGGGTCTGCTATAAATCATCTTACTGAGTTTTGGAATGATTAGGTGTTTTACATGGAGACAGCTGGTACTATCATTTTATCATTATCTCAGAAGATGTGGAAGTAATCATGGGCTCAGTATAACTATTAGCACAATTAGGTTCTTATGATTTTTCAAACATTGTCTCATTATTTCTTATCAGATTCTGCACATTATCCAGAAACTGGTTAGCAACACCATCATCTTAGTTGACTTCCAATTAGAAGATTTATGTAAAAACTAAAGGAAAATCTAGGATAAGTCCTGATGACATTCACGAGTACCAAACACTGGATAATAAGTGAATATAAATCATATGAAAAGAAGGCAAATATATAAGACATCTCCTCATTTATTGGGAGAAGTTCACTTCTTCTATTGAAAATAGCACATTCCAGAATCATATACATTACTGTCCCTACCAATAACTAGACAGGGAATTTGTAATTGGTTACTTACAATTCCCACTTGCCAGTCTTATAAGAATCTAGTATATACCCTATGACGTTCTTGGAAAATGAAACCCAGCAAAAAGAACTGAACCAAAAATTGCTTATGTCACATTTTTATGAACAATTTTGTCTAATTATCGAAGAATATGTACTTACTTGCCAAGCGCAAAACATTCCATCTTGACTGTCATTCCCTTAGCAGCTGTAACCATGAAAGGGAAATGGACCTCAATTTTCGGCTCATATTCTCCCATCACACCTGGGAAATAAAGAATGGTCTTTTAAAATAAAATTAATGTCACAACTTTTCTTGAAGCCTAAAGCCTTTTTTTCTAAGTGTGTGGTATAGTTTCTTAACAGCAATGAGGGAAGTGATGAATTGAGTGAGATCAGTGACTGTCTCAGAACAATCATGCAATTATAGAATCACAGAATGTCAGTGTTGGAAGGGAACTTAGAGCTCTTCTGATCGAACTCATACCCAAACAAGTATCCCTTCTGCGACACGCCGGACAAGTGGCACTTTAGCTTCTGCCTTAGGCCTTCTAGTGGTGGTGATGGGGAATTGGGATAAGGCGGGGAAAATAATTCTGTAAGCTCTGTTTGCTAGGAAGGTTTTCTTTTGTATATTGAATCATTTCAGTCATGTCCTACTTTTCATGACCCCATTTTGGGGTCTTCTTGGCAAGGATACTGGAGTGGTTTGTCATTTCCTTCTCCAGCTCATTTTGTAGAAGAGAAACTGAGGCACAGAGGGTTAAGTGACTTGCCCATGGTTACACAGCTAGTTAAGTGTCTGAGGCCAGATTTGAACTCATGAACATGAGTCTTCCTGATTCTAAGCCCAGTGCTATATCTACTGATAGAGCCTACCACACCAATTTTCTTTATATGAGGTCTGAATGTGCTTCTTTTCAATTTCCACTCATACATCTGCCCTCTGAGGCCAAGCAGAACAACTTTAATCTTTCTTCCATGTGACAACCTTATAAATAAGTTAAGAGCAGCTATCATGGTTCAAGGACTTTTATTCTTCAGACTAAACAACCCAATTCCTTCAAATGAATTTCAAATGAAATTATGGTATACTCTTGAAATTCTTCACCATCTTGGTTACCCTTCTGTGGGTACTCTCACCTCCTAAATGCATAAGAGCACATTCACAACCTTCTACAGGCTGTGTGGTAGGATAGAATAACTAGTCTTATAATCAGAAGCCCTGGGATCAAATCCTGCATGTGACATATTAGCTGTGTGAACATGGGCAAGTTCCTTAAACCTTGTGATGATCAGCTTCCATGTCTATATAATGAGGTTAATAATACTTATAATACCTATTTTAGAGAGTTGTTATTATGGTAAAATGTACTGATAACTTTTAAAGGGATACACACACACACACACACACACACACACACACACATACATATGTACATGTATATGAAGATATATATCAACTGTGGTTTTTAGGGTGATAATTGTTAAAATAATAAATCAGTGCTTACCGTTACCCAAATTGTTTTTCTTCAAGGATGATGTTTCCATTTCAGAATAGATTATAAACTCTAAAGCTTTTAGTCAATGTGCCGTGAAAGCTATGTCCTTTTTTATAGTTCCTTAGAGACCATTCTGCTTGCCAAGAAAGGTTCATTTCAGTTGTCTCCAACTCTCCTTAGCACCTTTGATATTTAAAGAAAATCAACTCATTCTATGCTACTTGCCCACCCTGACTGACTAGCTGAAAACACATCACCAGGATACATAATGCATGGGTTTAGGATTAAGCTTGATATCAGGAAAAACTTCCTTATAGTTATCCAAAAGTGGAGTGGTCTGCCTTGAGAACTAGTGTTCTTCCCCTAATTGGTAGTCTTTAAGGGAATGTTTGATCAAAAATGAAGTCAGACAGAATTCTTGTTTAAGGACACTTTGCATTATATGACTATTTTTTTCTTGAATATAAGTACAGGGGAAGTTCCCAGGGACCAGCCTACTTGCTGTTACAGAAAGTGCTCCATTTTCTCTTTTTATGCCTTTGCATAGGCTGTCTCACATCCAGAATGTTCTCTCTCCTAAGTACTGTCTTTTAGAATCCCTGATTTTCTTCAAGATTGCGCTCAAGAGCTGACTTCAAGAGGAGGTGTTTTCTGGTCTCCTAAGCAACTGGAGCCTTCCCCTCTGAGACGGCTCTCTATCCATTCATTATTATAAAATATTATATAATTACAGGTTATATTTAAAATGTGATGTTTGTATAGCACTTTGTAAACCTTAAAAGACTATATAAATGTAGCCATTATTGTCATTTTTAATCTTGTGCGAACCTATTTGTGTATATGTTGTATTCCCTAGTAGAATGTAAGATCCTTGAGAGCAAGGGCTGTTTTTGTTCTTTCTTTCTCTGCTTAGTGCTTAGGACAGTGCCTTGCTTACTCTCATTTGGGTTGAAAAGGAAACAATGTGTGCATCTAGAAGGGTGTAAAAGTCTTCTGAACATGTAGAGAGGTGAGAAAGCTGGGGGACAGGATGGGCGAGGGACTTTTAGAGGATTTTAGTGGATTGAAGGTGAGAGGGGGTGATGGGGTAATAGGGATAAGGTAAAAAGATAGGCTAAGAAGGAAAACAGTGAGTAAAAATAAGATGGAGGAAAATTCATGAATAGTAATTATATCTTTGAATGTGAATGAGATGTTTTTAGCAGCTCTCTTTGTGGTGGCAAAGAACTGGAAATTGTAGGAATCCCCATCAATTGGGGAATGGTTGAACAAGTTGTGGTGTATGATTGTGATGGAATCCTACTGTGCTATAAGAAATGATAAGCTTAATGATCTTATAAAGGCATGGAAAATTTGCGTGAAATGAAGAAGAGAGAAGTGAGCAGAATCAAGAGAACATTGTATATAATAATAGCAATATTGTTCTAAGAGTAACTGAGAGATTGTCATTTTGACTATTATAAATACACAAATTAAAAATAAAGGACATATGAAGAAAGAAACTACCTGCATCCAGAGAAAGAACTGATAAATGAAAATATGTAAGAATAATTTCGCATATATATGTACACACACACACACATACACACACATATATATGTACACACACACACACACACACACACATATACCTTTGTGTGTAATGGTGGCCACGTCTAGGCCAGGGTGGGGGGAGAAAAAAATAGAAAAAAAATAAAACATACATGTTAACTTTATTGCATATTTTGGGGGGATAGTAAGTTGTACATGGTAGATTTGCATTTGTCTTTTTATCGTATTGTGCTAAGGAAATGCTTGTTTTATTCCATGAATTGAAAATAAAATAATTTTTTTAAAAAGTACATATTAACTGACTGATTTATTGAACAAAGAGGGCAGCTAGGTGGCACAATGGATAGAGTGCTGGGTCTGAAGTCAGGAAGGCTCATCTTCCTGAGTTTAAATTCAGCCTCAGATACTTACTAGCTGTGTGACTCTGAGCAAGTCACTTTACATAGTTGGCTTCAGTTTCCTCATCTGTAAAATAAACTAGAGAAGGAAATGACAAACCACTATAGCATCTCTGCCAAGAAAACCCCACTGGGGTCACAAAGAGTCAGACATGACTGAAAAATGACTGAACACATTGAACAAAGGTGGGCTGCCACATGGCAGAAGGACTTGCTCTGCTTTGTCCCACAGTGCAGAACTAGGGGCAATGAGCAAAAAGGCATGGTGTTGCAGCTTTATGTAAGTACATTTTATTTTTTATTAATTAATTTATTTTTAGCTTTCAACATTCACTTCCACAAGATTTTGAGTTCCAAGTTTTCTACCTATCTCTCCCCTCTCCCACACCAAGACAGCATGCATTCTGAATACCCCTTCTCCCAATCTGCCCTCCCTTATATCACCCCTCCTCCCTTCTCTTATCTCCTTCCCCTTATATTTTCCTCTAGGGCAGGATAGATTTCTATACCCCATTGCCTGTATATCTTATTTCCCAGTTGCATGTAAAAACAATTTTTAACAATTGTTTTTAAAACTTTGAGTTCCAAATTCTTTCCCTTCCTCCCTCCCCACTCACCCTCATTGAGAAGGCAAGCAACTCGATACAGGTTATACAAGTGTACTCATGCAAAACACTTCCATAATAGTCATGTTGTGAAAAACTAACTATATTACCCTTCATCCTATCCCACCCCATGTTTATTCTATTCTCTCCTTTGACCCTGTCCCTCCTCCAAAGGGTTTGCTTCCAATTACTCCCTCTCCCAATCTGCCCTCCCTTCTATCATCTCCCCTCTCTTATTCCCTTCCCCCATTTTCCATAAGATAGATTTCCATATCCAATTGAGTATGTATGCTTTTCCTTCCTTAAGCCTAATCCGATGAGAATAAGATTCACTCATTCCCTCTCCCCTTCCCCCAGTTCCCGTGCACTGTAAAAGCTTTTTCTTCATTGGTTTATGTGAGATAATTTACCTCATTCTACCTCTCCCTTTCTCCTTCTCCCAGTACAATCCTCTCTCTCACCCCTTAATTTTATATTTTAGGTATCATCCTTTTATATTCAACTCACCCTGTGCCCTCTGTCTACACATATATTTCTTCCAACTGAGAAAGGTCTCATAAGTTAACAAATATCATCTTTCCATGTATGAATATAAACAGTTTAACTTATTTAATAAGTCCCTTATCATTTCTCTTTCCTGCTTACCTTTTCATGCTTCTCTTGAGTCTTGTATTTGAAAGTCAAAATTTCTACTCACCTCTAGTCTTTTTATCAAGAATGCTTGAAAGTACTCTATTTCACTGAATGTCTATTTTCTTCCCCTGAAAGATTATACTCAGTTTTGCAGGGTAGGTGATTCTTGGTTGTAATCCTAGTTTCTTTCCTCCAGAATATCGTATTCCAAGTCCTCCAATCCCTTAATGTAGAAGCTGCTAAATCTTGTGTTATCCTGATTGTGTTTCCACAATACCTTAATTGATTTTTTGTGGTTGCTTGCAATATTTTCTCCTTCACCTAGGAACTCTGGATTTTGGCTATAATATTCCTAGGAGTTTTCCTTTGGGGATCTCTTTCAGGAGGTGATCAGTGGATTCTTTCAATTTCTGTATTACCACCTGATTCTAGAATATCAGGGCAGTTTTCTTTGATAATTTTTTGAAAGATGATTTTCTAGACTCTTTTTTTTGATCATGGCTTTCAGGTAGTCCAATAATTTTTAAATTATCTCTACTTGATCTGTTTTCCAGGTTAGTTGTTTTTCCAATGAGA